AAGACCGTGTTTCTCATTGAGAGTGTCGGCACGATCAGGAATGCCCGTGCAAGAGGAAGTATCCACTGTACATCGACTGAACTATCGAGAAACTTTGGTGAGACGATGTGCGACAACGCACTGAGCATCAAGAGCGGCGCCATCTCCAGTGTAACACTCATGGCCACCTACGGCACTACACCGAGGAAACGGTGGTGTAGCACTTCGGCTACACTACGGCACCGTCCAAATCAAAGGCATTTTCGCACAGGAGATCGGTACGCTCTATCGGTCTTGAAGCAACACCCTCGCCAGATCGTCGTCAAGAAAATGATTGTTGTCTGGTCGTGGTGTGTAATGATAGTGACCAGTGGGACCTGTGGGTACCAACAACGTCCAGACCACACCCAACGACATCTACGTCGATCTCACGGACGGTAAGGACGTCGTCAACGTGTGTGAAGCGTCGTGGTCTAGCAACCAGCAGCCAAACCTGTCCAAGAACCTCGAAAAAACTCTGCATAGGTTTTAAGCTAATCCGCGCTATCAGTACTCAATATTGTTGTTATAGATATTCTGCCTATCGTACAGTATCAAAATGTGAAGAAATTCGTAATCTTAATATCATTTCTCTCACTGATGACTCACTTTTTTCACTACAAAATTATTACACACAAAATTATTACTAACCACAAACCAGCCACAAACGTATGTGGCAATAATCACTCCGACACAATAATGTACAGCTGTCGCTTACCCATCCTGTGATCAAGTTTGTGGTATTTTTACAGTATTTAACCGGCTTTCTGTTAGTGTTTAAGATTCGCTCCGAGCTGCGCAGACCGCTCGAGCCTCAAGTCGAGTATTGAACTTGCTCACACAGGTGACGTTCCCAGTACACTACAGGTATTGAACAGGCTGTACTTGTAGACGACCTTACATTACTTGTTGTGAACAAATAAGACTGATTCAGCATACACGAAGACTTAAAGCCTTTTCTTACTGTTGAAGTACTTGAATTTCAGTATGTTTACTTCGAAGTGTGACATAAACAAATAATACGAGTTTATGGCGCACTCGAGGTAAACATTGGATCGAAGTGTTATAAGACAGCCTACGGGTTTATGCCATACTTCAAAGTAATCACTGGACATATTTAAATTCAATCCCGGTATATGAGGTTATGTTATGCTTCGAAGTAAACATTTGCCATATTTAAATGGAGAATATTTATCAGCACTGCCCACAAGATTGACCAAATTCACAGTACACAAAATTAGTTTTATCCAATAGGAAGCTGGTTGAACATTAGCAAGGATGCTCGCTAAAATAGCATTACCAGTCATACCCATTCGTCTGGCATTCCACCTTTAAAATATCCCCCAATTCATTACCAATAGTCGCTAGAATTTTCAGGACGCCGATCTCGCACTCCCTAATAGTCTAGCAACATTTGCAAGCATCAATTCTATAATGACTAATCTAGGTGCAAGAGAGCAGTTGCTGAACGTGAAATCAATTAGTGTACATACGTGAAAAATTAATTAAGGCTACATGGAAGGCTGGACATACAAACTCCGTGTTGCCGAAGAGAGGTTTCAGTGTTCTAACCTCATACCGGTGGTGATAGTGATCGTAGCGTCAGCAGCTGTCGAAAGAGGGAAGCAATTAAACGGTTTGCGGATAGTGCTGCGAATTTGGTTAATCTTGTGGGCAGGAGTGGTGCCTAATGAATGTACCCATCTTGATTACGGTGATGTATTTTGCTCACACGATAAATACGTGTGGGGTGTGCTAAACTCGGGACACAATATAACGCCAGTGCTAGAGAAAATATGAATGCTTGCGTGAGGCTATTTCATAAGGGCGTTCAAGACAACCTGGCGAGTACGTACAAGGCTCCGATTCAAAACGCAGTTGTGTAGCCATCTTGATTCCGATAAACTATGTGGTCCACACCTATAGACTTGAGTTGACAGCCACACGTACGTCATTCAATTGTCCCAATGTCTTCGATTGCGCTACGTCTCGGTCGCCGTGTCCTGCTTTCCAGCCGCCATGCGCGCAGCTTTGCCAACTCCAATGCTGACGCCGGCTTCTCGTACCCTGGCGCTCGCTCGCTGGAGCAGATCGTGAAGATGGAGTTGCTGGAGGGTGAGCAAGCACCCAAGATCCGCAGCATCTGGGAAGAGTTCCACGCTGACAAGGACGACGCCGTGGCTACCACGCTGGACGTCATCGAGTTCCAGGCTCTAGTGAAGCGCGCTGAGGCTGCGCCCTACTTCATCTTCCCCGTATACCGCCAGGAAGGGTTCTTCAATATGCTGTGCCAGTTCCAGCAGTCGTGCTTCCTGATCACTTACCTCGAGGCCTTTAAGGAGAACCCCAGCGCCGCGCCACCCTGCGTTGCCGTCTCACTGTATGACGATTTGCTGACGAAGAAGGAGCTCGCTCTGGTACGTGCTGATGTCATCAACATGCTCGACAAGAAGGAGTCGCAGCTCCTGCTTAAACAGCTTCTAGCCAGCTACCAGGACGACCAGCTCTACGAACATGTAGACATGTTCAACAACAAACCCGACCAGTTCGACTTTGAAGCTTACCGTGTGATGCTGCAGAATACCACCGAGGCGTAGAGTGCAATAACAAGCGAATGTTTTGAACAAAAAATGTATGTTAAAAAACCATATCACTCTCCCTCTCTTCTCCAGCTTTTGCCCTTCTATCTCGACTTTACTGCTGGGCCTTCTGGGCCTGCGCCTCCTTCCTCTTAGCGTGCTCGGCCTGGAATAGTACAAGAGCCTGCTGGGTCGTGGCATCAGCCTCCAGACCCAGAGCCTGGTACTCCTGGGCGTGAGTCTGAGCGAAGCCCTGCAGCGAGTTAAGGAAGAATTCTACCTCGTCCACCTCGTCCAGCAGACTGATGTAGTCCTCGTCACCCTCGTCATCGTAGCCGAACTGACCCTCAGCCTCCTCACGCAGCTGGCGCAGGATGGCGTAGTACTGGTCGTCCACCACGTCCTCGGCGTCCTCGTTCGAGGCGTATCCGCCGTTCTCCAGCAGCTCCTCGAGCTGTTCAGTCTCCTCACCTTCCTCGGCCTCTTCACCGCCGTCAATGATACCCGGAGCCGGGTTCTGAATGGACTCGGCCAGTACCTTCATAGCAGCCTGGATCAGCTGCTTAAGGTGCGGACGCAGAGCTGCCGGGATCTTGTCGGCCGGAGCACGCAAGATGGACATGGCACCAAGGATGAACAGCTTGCGGTCCAGGTAGTTGTCGTAGCGAGACAGGTCGCTCAGCCAGATCTTCAACACGCCATCAGCAGCGCCCAGTTGATTCAAGGCATCCAGCGTCAGTGCCGGATTGTAGTGCAGCAGACTACCGAAAACACCCAGCAGGTTGCGCGCCGTGGAGTCCACAAGAGGCTCAGCCAGCTTGTTGCACACCATCAACGTAATGGGGGGAATGCACTCGTCCACCTTGCCGAACAGGTTGTGCAGCAGAGAGTAGAGCAGACGGCAGGCAGCGCACAGGTCGATCTCCTGCACGTTCGTGCTCTCGAAGACGGTCTTGGCCATGTTGAAGACGAGCTCAAGGTACCGGACGCTGGCTCCAGTAGCAGGGTTCGTGCACGAACCAGCCAAGAAGCCGTCGATGTCGCGGCCAACAAAGTTGTCGATAACCGGCACGAAGTTTGTCAAGTAGTCCGACGCCCAGTCGTTGAAGCTCGCGAAGATAAGAGGGAACAGCGACCACAGCTCCGGGGCGATTTTATGGCTGTAAAAGGCCAGCGAGCCCAGGATATCGATGCCGCTCTCCATGTACTCGACGTAGTCGAAGTCTGTGAGAATCTTGTGGATAACCGGCGCAAGCGTAGGAACCAACAGAGCGTACAGCTCCGGGTGGTTGTGGATGCTCATGAGGATCGTGTTGATGGCATCCAGACACGATACAGCAGCAAGCGAGGCATCTTCGTCCTCCTCGGCGACAGCAGTGAACTGACCGAAGAATTCCACGAACTTGGCGACCAGCTGCACGGAAAACGGACCAATTTCCGAGGAGAATCGGTCGATAATGTGCTCAAGTGCGACCACAACTTCGTCGTTGCCGATCTCGTCCATCAGGCTGAAGAACTGCTCCAAAATCTGAGGCAGGCGAGGACGCAGCACCTCCACCACGGTGTCCGAGTGCGGGTACATGACGACAAAGCGAATCGTCTTGGCAGCCTCGATACGCACGGGCAGTTCCGGGTCGAACATGGCGTCCAGCATGCCGTTGACGATGTTGATCAGGGTCTGCTCGTCCTTGAACTTGATGCCTTCAATGTACTTGCGAGAGAAGATCTTGCACGCACGCAGACGCAGGAAACCGTGCGGGTTCTTGAACTCTGGCAGGATGTGAGTAATAATCATCGACTCCACTTGGTCCTTGTGGGCCTTCGACTTGGTCAGCACGCCGTCCAGCGAGAAGAGAGCGTGCAAGGCAGCATCCTTCTGGATGTAGTCCTTCTTGTCATCCGGAGTAGCCAAGTACGTGTTCAGGATGTTGTTGTAGAAAGACAAGACGTTCGGCAAGCAGTCCTTGCCACGCTTGGTGCACAAGTCAGCGAGCAGGTTGGAAGCGGCGTAAACGGGGTCCAAAAAGTCCTCGAACACGTCGTTGGTCTTGCGTACGAACTCGTGCGGGTCCTCAGCCCACAGCTGCAAGTCCTTAGGAGTCAGACACAGCACGGGGTGGATCACCTCGAACAACAGGAAGCCAAGGTGCGGCTTAATGAGCTTGTACGTCACAGCTGAGTCCACAGCCTCCTGTAGGAACACGAGAGCGAGCTGCACCACGCGATCCGTGCAGAATCGTCCGTTCTTACGCAACGCGAGCGTCTCCATCACACACGGCAGGAGCTCCGGAGCGATCTGGTTACGGAATACCGTGGACATCTGCAGATACTCCTCCTCGGCCTTCTTGGGGTTACCGTAACGCGTGTAGAAGCGGCAAAGAATCTGCAACGCCCACTTTTTGAGCTTCCACCAAGGCCAGTTGCCACGGTCCTCCTCGTCCGTTGGCTGACCAGCGGGTTCGCCACCTTCGCTGGCTTCGGGCAGCGGCTTGGCGATGACCAAGCGGAAAATGTTCATCCAGGCCACGACCTGTTCGGTCTGCGCGATGTGCGGCGGCAAATTGGTCTTGACGCACGACCAGTAAGTCTTGAGGATCAGGTGCATCATGTGCGCAGCCTCGATTGAGTTGTTGGTCTGCATCTGCACCATCATGTTCTGCAGCATGGGGAAGACCACCTCCACGAGCTTAAAGAGCGGGGCCAGACGGTCCTCCGAGCGGTACTCGAAGTTCTTGACCACGCGACGCAGCGCCAGCAGTGCGTTGATGATGCGGTTGGCATCGCCGCTCTGGACGTTCTTGCAGATGTCGTCGATCAGCGTCGGCCACGAGTCCTACGTCATACCACAATATTATGAAACCAATTGTGACGCTAAGAGTGCTATCAAAGCCAGAACGTACCGGGAAGTCGAAGCGCGCAATGTAAGCGACGGTCTCGGCCAGTAGCGAGCGGATGCTTGAGTCTTGTGACACCAGGAGCGCCTCGAGGCCGTTCTGGCGACCCAGCGCCTTGTCGGCGGGGCTAATAACCTGCATCCATTGACCTTCGGGGCCGTCAGCGCCCTCCCAGTACTTTTGCACAAGGTTCTTGAGCGACACGGCAGCGGCCTGGCGGATCTCGCGCGTCACGCTGGCCTCGACGGTGATCTGGATGAGCAGCTGCACGGAGCCAGGAACGGTGTGCAGACCCGCGACGGCCTCCTCGGCGGCCTTACGCGCGGCCTCGTCATTGCTGAACGTATGCAGCAGGATGTTGTGTAGGCTCGCCACGTCCATCGTTGCTGTGTATAGAGAGAGCTTAGCGGTGACTCTGCTGCTTTGGGTCTGATTGACGAGCTACGGATGGATGGAAGCCATGTAACCCCGACGTAACCTAAAGGGTACAAATGGCTACATTAGCGAGGTTTTTCGATGGGACACCCGAGGTTTTTCGCTGAAGAAATCGTTAAGTACGAATCAACAGCGCGATTGACTGGCGGAGAGCACGTCTGAGATGGGATGAGACAAGAGTGTACTGTGAAAGGGTGCTGAGTAAAGGTTGATAAAACTCATGTTTGAAAGCTTCCTGGAATTCCAGAAACCCGTACAGCATGCTAAGTAGCCAATGAGTTTGTATCCTACCGTCCGAAAACGTTTTTCGGAACTGCATGATATGCACAAAATGTATCACAGTACTAGTACTTCGAAGTGCTGAAGTAAGTGTTTTGTTAGGAATGGCCTTGGTAATGCAATTTTTTAATGGCTACACGCTGGTTGGGGTGCTGCCAAAAGCAGACATCCTCTATTGGTTTCACAGTTAGATCGGTAAGGCTTCTTCTACTGTAGAGCCAATACTTGAAGTGGATGGCGGTGAAAACAGTGGTTTTCCCGCCATAGAACCGCAGGATATTTTGTGCTAGATTTTAATGAGATACTAGTAATCGTTTGACATACTGTAGTGAAAAGTATTACATCCATCGGTAATCTATCCGTCATTTATTCAGATTATCGTTGTTCAAAGGTTGCCCAGTTCTTCTAAGACCAAAGCTTTCTAAGATTTGAAAAATAAGAAATCGTAGGGTAGGCGAATCGTAAATATATGGAACCTTCGACTATGAAGATCTAACTAAACCTATCCACCAAAAAAAAATGCAAGAGCTAACCAGGGCACTGCAGCCCACCAATGACTATAAGGCAATTCGCTTAGTCGACCTCCTCCATCGTGCTCTCCTCCTCGTCCTCGCCCTCAAGAGGGGGCAGGTCCTCCATCGACTCATCAGCAGCGTCATCGTCGTCGTCAATGCTCAGACCAAGCTTGATGAGACGGTGGATGCGGTTGGCAAACGTCGTGGGCTCGTCCAGGCTGAAGCCCGAGGTCAGCAGTGACGTGTCGTACAGCAGCCAGATCAGGTCCTTGACCGTCTTGTCGCTCTTGTCAGCCTCAGCCTTCTCACGCAACGACTTGATGATGGGGTGCAGCGGGTTGATCTCCATCGTCTTCTTGGACGTCATGTAGGCCGACGTGCTGCTGTCACGCAGAGCCTGCGCCTTCATGATACGCTCCATGTTAGCCGACCAGCCGTACTCGCCCGTCACCAGGACGCAGGGCGACTCGACAATACGGTTCGAGATCTCCACCTTCTCCACCTTGTCGTCAAGGACCTCCTTCATGAGCTTGCACAGGCCCTCCGTAGCAGCCTTAGCCTCCTCGAACGACTTCTTCTCGTCCTCAGTCTCCTCCATCTTGAGGCCCTCCTTGGTGGCGCAGATGAGCTTCTTGCCCTCGTACTCCTTCAGCTGCTGCACAGCGTACTCGTCAATGGCCTCCACCATGAACAGCACCTCGTAGCCCTTCTTCTTGAGCTTCTCAATGAACGGCGAGTTCTCCACCGACTTCTTGCTCTCACCGGTCACGTAGTAGATACCGGGCTGGTTCTCCGGCATACGCGAGATGTAGTCGTCCAGCGACGTCATCTCCTCGCCAGACTTAGTCGAGTGGTAACGCAGCAGCTTGGCGATCTTGGTGCGGTTCGTCGAGTCCTCGTGGATGCCGAGCTTGAGGTTCTTGCTGAAGGCCTCGTAGAACTTGTTGTACTTCTCGTTGTCCTCGGCGAGCTCCGCGAACATCTCGAGGCACTTCTTGACCAGGTTCTTCTTGATCACACGCAGGATCTTGTTCTGCTGCAGCGTCTCACGCGAGATGTTAAGCGGCAGGTCCTCCGAGTCCACAACACCCTTGACGAACGACAGGTACTCGGGCATGAGCTCCTCGCAGTTGTCCATGATGAAGACGCGACGCACGTACAGCTTGATGTTGTTCAGTTTCTTCTTGGCACCGCCCTCGAACATGTCGAACGGCGCGCGCTTAGGGGTGAACAGACAGGCCTTGAATTCCAGCTGGCCCTCCACCGAGAAGTGCTTGACGGCGGCGTGCTCCTCCCAGTCGTTAGTCAGCGACTTGTAGAACGAAGCGTACTCCTCGTGGGTCACGTCCTCGGGCTTGCGCATCCAGATGGGCTTCTGGCTGTTGAGGTGGTCCCACTCGTGGGTCACTTCCTTGATCTTCTTGGTCTTCTTCTTCTTCTCTCCCTCCTCCTCTTCAACCTCCTCAACCTTGGGCTTGTCGTCCTCGCCCTCCTTCTCGTCCTCCTCTTCCTCGTCGTCCGTCACTTCCTTCTCCTCCGTCTTCTCGACGTACAGCTTGATGGGGAAGCCAATGAACTCCGAGTGCTTCTTCACCAGGTCTTTCAGCTTGCGCTCCTCAAGGTACTCGAGCATGTCCTCCTTGAGCTTCAGCACAATGCGCGTACCACGAGCAATGGGCTCCGACGTGTCGGGCGTGACGGTGAACGAGCCACCGGCGGCGGACTCCCACACGTACTGCTCGTCATCGTTGTGCTTCGAGTGCACCACGACCTTGTCAGCGACCAGGTAGGCAGAGTAGAAACCCACACCGAACTGACCAATCATGCTGATGTCGGCGCCGGCAGCCAGAGCCTCCATGAAGGCTTTGGTGCCCGACTTGGCGATCGTACCCAGGTTGTTAATGAGGTCAGCCTTCGTCATACCGATACCAGAGTCCTGGATGGTAAGCGTGCCGTTGGCCTTGTCCGGGATCACCTTGATCTCCAGGTTCTTGTCCGTGTCCAGCACGCTGGCGTCGGTCAGCGACGAGTAGCGGATCTTGTCGAGGGCATCCGAGGCGTTCGAGATGAGCTCACGCAGGAAAATGTCCTTGTTCGAGTAGAACGTGTTAATGATCAGACTGAGCAGCTGGTTGATGTCGGCCGAGAAGGCGAACGTTTCAGCTTCCGGAGCGCTCATGTTCTCTGTGTGTTTCTTGTGTCTTGGTGACTTGGATTTGATTCCAACTGGGAAGATTGAAGAATGAGGCCGATCAAGAGGTTTGGAAAGGAAAGGGGGTTGCCCGCCAGCCAAACAACGGTCAGCGCCCAAACTAACGGGCGATCTTTTCTTGTTTTGGGTTCGAACACGTTGTCATCGAAACTTCCATCGGCGGGGCGACGTCCATGTTTTGTGTAGATTGATTTTGATTGTTGGGAGAGATGACGCGTTACCGGCTTCGAATCTTCTAGATTGCGACGGGCCAGAGATTAGACGGTACAGTGTACCCGATCGATTGCTGGAGGTCTGAGTTTTATCGAAACAGCAGTGAAACACTAGGTCCGACGATATGCGTTCTCGAGTCGGGTACGTGGCAGGTGTTTCGAGTGGGGGGCTGTCCTTCTCGAACATGCCACCAAGTGGCGTTCGTTCACTGCGCGAAAATTCGAGGCGGCCAAAGAGACGTTTGTTGGTGACAACATTCTCTTGCGGTGGCTGCAGCTAGTGATTGAAGCGTTTAGATTGATGGATGGACATGTGTCCATGGATATACACTCAAGTTGAGATACATTCACAATACACTTTATCACCAGCTCGTCACTATCAGCGTCTCGACCGTGTCAAGATCTCGCCTTAAATATTCCTACGACTGCGAGCGTGGCTGGAGAGCCAAGATCAGATTCCGCGGTGCGTCATACCGATCCTCGCCTTTTGGAGTTGTGGCCGGCTGGGTTGACGTTGACGGTCGTTTGGCAGCTGATCCGTGTTTCTTGCCGACGCTGAGAATCAGTGGCCGTGGGTTCGCCTCAACCTCCGGCTCAGGCGCAACTGGTGACGTTGCAGTTGCTGGAAGTGGATGGTTCATGACTCGAGCTGCCATGATGTCGGCCACCGATTGCGGACTCTCGGACAGGAGCAGATCTTGGATACTCCCAGCCAGTGACGGAAGACTCACTGGAGTTCCGTGGGCATCGGGCTTGGACGTGGAGACTTCAGCACTACTTGTCACAGTGGCTGCATCGGGAAGCTGCTGGTGCGTTGCCAAGTACTCGAGGTACTCTTGGATGTATTGCTGCATATAGAGCTTGACTTGCTCTTGCTGCTCACACAGAATAGTCTGCGGATGGATGGGCTCATTGTTGGCGTCCATGCGAAGCAAGCCTGCTGCTCGAGGCTTGTCGATGCTTGCCTTGCGTTCGCTATGCCGACTACGCTTGGAAGAGGATTCGCTATCCGACATACTCACGTCGCTCCCGTCTTGCTCTGTTTGCTTCCGTTTCGAGCCACTCGTACTTGTGTCGGACTGGGAATCGCTACCGTCGTCAAACATATCGCTATCGCACGACTGAGAGGACTTAATGGCGTCCGTATCCTCCATATCGACGCTAGGAGACATCGATTCTGACTTTAGATCGACTATATTGTCGGAAAGAGTCTGAGCCGGTTTGCTCTCGCTTTCGTCAGCTGTGATCGCAGTTGTTGCCTGGTTGGTGCTTGGAGTCGCTTCTGCGTTGCGCGTTTTCCACCGAAATACGGGCTTTCGGGAGTTGGAAAGCTGCAGCTTCTCGATCAATCCGACGCTTACCAAGACATTGGCCACATCGTATAATCGACGAATTTTGGCTACGGAGGCACAAGATATTGTAAGCAAGCATAGTAAAAAAAAAATGCTGGAGTAATAACGTACTCTTCAGTAGACGGTCTTCCTCGCTTTCGCTATCTTCCATTTGTATAAGTTGTTTGGCAGCTTGGTCCAGCGGGATAATGCAGTCCTCCTGTAAGTAGTAATGAAGAATTAGCCGTACGATTCTTGTCATGTGAACAGTAAAGTAGGCGCACCTTTCCAAGGAAGAGCTGGACGAACATTTGACTCAATTTGGACAATGACTTGCCTCTTCGACGATCGCCTATAGCAGCAGCAAAAAGTATTAGTTTCTCTCAAAACACAATCGAGCGCTTGATGGAGCAACTTACTTTTGATGGGCGGGTATTCCGTGCCGCTTTGACCAGTCGGGGACGACTTTTGCATTTCTGCGTATCGTTGCTTCATCGCACTAATGGACGTCGGGAGGGAGGCTAAACCATGCCAGTTGTAAAGATTCTTGCTCTTGCGACTCACAAGGTGAATGCTCTCGAGGATATTTACGATATCGTAGATCCGCCTCCGCTCCACCCCAAGTTCTGTAGCTGCTCGGTCCAGACAGATTTCCGAAATCTTGTCATCCCGGTACAGTTTCAAGAAGCTAAATACAGCAACAGCATTAGTCAATACAATGCAGCATACACCATACAACCCAGCAATTTCACGTACTTCTCACACAGCAGACCGAGTGACTTGTCCTTCCGGTTGTACTCTCGAAAGGGGAAGAACTTGACCTCATCCCCCTCCATCCGCCAGTCCCCGCTCTTACTGTCCTTGTCTCCTTCCTCTGCTGTCTTGGGCGCACGGCCGGCCTTGGCTGGGGGCTTCCCCATTGCTGTCGTTTCCGAGTCCATCCACGCCGTTTTAATCTGTCTCTTGGCAGAAGTTCCTACCTTCTTGGGCGCCCTACGCACGTATCTCCGCTTGGCTTTACTAGGCTTTAAAGCGGGGCAAGTATTGGT